TATAATTTATTCAATGAAACTCGATATATCACCTCTTCTATTGATTAGCCATGGATCTTTTCTGTGTTTTAGGAACCGAGCTAACATTTTTTTAGTATATATTGTCAATCAGTTTGGCGTAATCCATACGTTGGAAATTGGAGGAGCCATACACGTCCTGATGCAGTCTAAATTTATTCAATCAATTAATATGAAGCAAAAAAAAAAATAAAAACAACTTACTTCTCCGCACTTCCCCAGTTGCTAACCATGTTTTCCCTGCGGATTGTATAGTATTAGACGGTGTCAAAGAAAGGTAGTATCTGGCTTTGCCAATAAACTTTTTTGCTGTATAACGTTCTACTTCAGCCTAAATAAAATAAATTAAAGAAATTTTTTCTTGAATTTTTATTTTTTAAAAGTTTGTTGATTAAAAAAGGCTAAAATAAAGCATACCTCGGATCCCCAATCCTGCATGTCGTCGACTGTAATGTTTTCTTTAAACATTTCACTCATATCTTCATAAGGCGTTTCATCAGCACTTATGAATTCGTGACCATTCACTAGAAATTTTTTTGGCATCGCCTTTAAATAAAGATTTGAATTATTAAAAATTTAGCAAAAAAACTAATATTACCTTTTCTCCATTTTTTACGGCTTCATCCATTCTCTAACAAATTTAGTGACTCTCGACTATTCATGAGGATTTCTAATCCCTCTAAGGAGTTTCGTCTCTGGCTAGCTCTCAAGTTTTTTAGCTCGTTATCTCTCCCCCTTAATAACTTTTCTAGCTCGCTTATCCTATTCGCTTTACCTACCGCTACAATTTTAACTTGTTCTTATTTATTTTGTAGTCGAACTACTTCCTGCGCAGACGCTTGTGCCACTGCAGGGTCTTGTACCTCTCTACCAAATTGGACTTCTACTTCTACCAACAGTTGCTGTAGCATCCCCTGAACAGTTTCTCCAAATTCCTGGAAACACGTTCCAGCCCTTATGCTGAGCACTGACGTGTAACTGCTACCTGACTTGGTTTTTACTTCAAGTTGGTATTTTATAACCCACTCTCTCACCTCCTCTTTAGCTCTTTCGAATCTCTCTGACAACGCCTCCCATTTGGTTGCATGTCGTGCTTCGCTATCTCCCTCCTCCCCTAGACTATCTAGTGAGGGGCCAGACATGCTTATGAAATCAGAACAAAAATTTGTGACACAAGTTTAAGAACGGTTACGCTCAGCGACTGAAAATTTCAAAGGTTAATGCTCTATCTACAACAATTTGTACTACAAAAGAACGAATCTAACAGAATTCTTTACTAATAAAACAACTATTAACCCCAAAAACTTAGAAACCCTTATCTCTATACATTAACTTCTTAATCAACTTTCTTAACATCTTAATACTAAAAAATATCTTCTTATCCTCTATAACTACTTACTGTATTCCACCGTCCTTTAATCATATTCTTATTCTCCTTCCTCTTGATTATACCTCCCACCAAACCAGTTTACTTTCATTGGCTCCAAATTATACAGAATCTCTAACGGCCATGTC